CAGTCTACCAGATTGTCTGCCTTTTAATGATCTTTGGTTAACAGAACACATAGCAGCTAACATGTAGTAAGAAGCATAGAGTCATGTGTCCTGCCCTTCAGTCTGGAGCCTGAGTTCACCATATTCAATGCTTCAGAGGTGAGAAGGTAGCAGAGAAGGCCAGGCTAGGATGGTGGAGACTGGCTGTGGCTGGAAGCTTTTATGATCCTGTTAAACCTGCCTATGGATGGAGTGTTAACGTGCTTCATTAGAAGACTGTTTTCACTGCTCTCCAGGGAATGGATCTCCAGGAGGAGGAGTTAATGCCAGGCTGTACTAGTGCAGGAGGAGTGTGGAGGAGGGGGCTTTGGCTCACATGTTCCCTGGGAATTCCATCTCAAGGAAACTCAAGCAGGGAAGGGGCCCTATCAGCAAATATCAGGGATTGCCCTAGGCATCTCCAGAGATAGAGAGGAATGCAGGATAGTGTTTGTCAGCTGCAGGCGGGGCCTCTGGAAGGATTCCCAGCACAGCACCCTACAACCAGCCTGCCCAGTGTCTCAGTTGGCAGCCTAGAAATTGGAAAGCCACTGTCTCAGATGCTGGCTCTAGGCTCACACTTCCCTAGACACCATCAAAACTGTAGTAGGCTCCAGGACCACCCAGTCCCTGCCAGATCTGCCCAGTAGAGTAGAAATCACCACCCCCTCCCAACCACTCTTCCTCATTCAAGTCAGCCCAGAAATCAGAACTAGGTTGAACATGGAGAGCTATTTGGGGGTGTGGACCTAAAGAGCAAACCCTAAGTCATATTTGAAACCTCAGTAAGGGAGTTCAGAAGTATTGTTTTTAGCCTCGCAGGCCACACTACAGGAACATACACCAAGAGGCCACTGCTGTCTCAGGTGTCCATTGAGCTCCTCCCACAGCCTGAGAAGTTAGAATGGCCATAGCTTCAATGCATCATGGGAGAGACAAGTTCAGGGTATATTTGAAAGGTCCCCAGTTTTCTCCTGGTATTGGTGATTGATTTGATGAGCTGGGGAAAGGGGGAAAGAACTGGTAACCAAGGTCACTTCCTTAGCCACATTAAGTCCTAGTCTTGGAGTTTTTAAAAGTCATAGTTTAATTTCATGAGTAACAAATTGCCATAATCTTATCTATAGCAATGTGAACAAATTTGAGAGCCAAGTGATCTCAAAGCTTTCTCATACGTCTGAAATTCTTTGGTGGATTCTTTAACCAATAACAGTTGTGTTGGGACATATTTCGTGTTTCTGGAACATTTTTGTCAGCATAAGAAACAGAAGTTAAACAAGGAAGCCAGCTCCATGGATCCCAAACTCCGGTGTCACCCAGCTCAATAGAATGTCCCTCTAGGTTGTGTCCCCAAGATTGCAAGGGTGTTACTTCAGGCGGATCCCCAGCCATGAGTAACCCTTATCTTGGTAAGCCTGCTGGGGCCTCCTAGATATGGTTGACTCAGATGTGTTTTTCATCTTGTGTCCAGCTGAAGAGGGTGTAGGGCACAGGTGCTGTCTTGTTCCAGTTCCCTGGCACACAACCCCAAGGTGGGTGAGTCCCTGGAAGCTGAGCTCCTTGATGCCAGCCAGTTCTTCTGCCAGGCTCCCTTCCTTACTGGCAGTGTGAGTGGTTCCAACTACCTCTGCTCTTTTAATTTTCCACTCTGGCATTGTTAACTGATAGGGGTCATGATGAGGTGACCGCTGAACAACTTATTAGGTGGCAACTAAATTGGGTCGTGGCTGCCCCAGGCTGGGTGTAGTAATTGCTCAAGTGGCCGAGCAGGCAACAGTGCCGGCTATTTTCTCCACCTTCCTGGATGCTTTTATTGAGATCTCCTATCTCCCGACCATTTAATAGAAGCATAATGTACTCCTTTGCATCGTTTAACCTGGAGTAAACTCATCAATGGGGAGGCTTGGTGGAGACATGGAAGTACTTAAAAACAGAGTGAATGAAAGGGACGGCAGCTGGTGTTTCTCCCAGGCAGCAACCTGGGTCAGGCCTCCTCCTGAGTTGCCAAGAATGTGCCAGGCTGAGGTCTGCACAGGTGCAGTGTGTCTGGGCGATGAACCGGTGCAGGTGTGTAAGTGCGTAAGCCTCTCCTGGAATGTATAAACCAAGCTGGGCAAACAGAACATACACATGCTATTTATGATAAGGCTGTAACTCATGTTTTAAGACCAAATCTGCTTTTCCTAAGTTAGAAAGATATTTATTATTAAAAATATTTTTTCTTTAGTAACACCTTACTAATGTTGGCTCTCCAGCCTGACCTGCAAGGACCCACTTAAGCTGTCCTGGAGTGTCACAGTTCACTTACAGGGCAAAGTGCAGCACACAGTCATGTGTGTGTTTTATGTGGTGTGTTAGCTAGCTTCTTCCTATTCTTGGAAGTTGATTGAAGCCAGTCTAGGATTGTGAAGTTCTTGGATCATCTCCACTGTGGCAGGGTAGGATCATGTGGAAGTTCTCAGGACAGTCAGCCTGTGGGATTCAGGCTGACCTGGACAGCTTGTCAGCCCCCAATGCTGGCCTTTCCTGCAGAAGTTTTCACTCAGTGCATTGGGAATGGGCCCCCAAATCTGCATTTCCTGCTGGTGCCTAGGTGATGCTGACATTGGGGTCCCTGTGGTTCTGTAACATCTGAGACCTCCCCTAAAGAATGCTTGTATCTGAACTCTGGGATTCCAAGCAGCCAGCAGTGCCCTCCTCCCGAGATACATGACTAAATCTAGACAATGTGTCCTAAGCCTTCCTCCTTAACTGGGCCCTCACATGGCCTGTGCTTGCATTCCCTTCTTCCTTTTCCTCCTGAGCTCTCATTGAGAACATCTGAAGCCAGCAGGGTAGAGGAAGGAGTAAGTCACGCTCTTCAAGGCTCTGGAAACTGAATCCTGCCATGGGGGCATAAGTAAGCAAGTATCCCAAGCAATCCAGGGCAGAAGTCAGAACAGTGACAGGTGATGCCTCCTTTTTCTGTCTAGGCCAGGTGCTTTCTTCTGCAGCTGCTGATGTGGACTAAGTCTTCCCCCAAATCCACCAAAGCTAAGTCCCACAGCCATGATCCCCAGGGTCTCCATTGGGCTCTGCAGAAGTTTGGCAACAGCCAGGACCCAAGAGTACCAGGATTCTTGGCATTACACTCTGGGTCTTCCTGTGAGCAGAGCTGTGGAGAAAGAAACACCTAAGAAGACAGAGCCGAGATCAAGCTACAGCCCCACTCTTCCCACCCCTCACCCTCACCCTTCCTGACTCGCCCTTCCTCACAGCCTCCAGCATACCTCTTGTTCTGGCATTCCTAAATTCCCCCTTAGTGGGACATCTCTGCATCTGTGATTACTACCCCACCCTTGTGCCTCCACTGGTCTGGGGTCAAATACCCCAGACTGGAAGCATTAGCCAGGAGGGCATATCTGCCACTGAGGGTGGGCAGCAACATAGAACAGAATGGCAAGGCTGGGTGCTGGAGTCTTGGTAGCACTAGCTAGTGATTCCCTGTTCATTTGCCCCTCTGACTCATAGGTCGTCTGTGTGTGTGTGTGTGTGTGAGTGTGTATCATCCACATATAAATATTGAAGACTGTAGTCAAGATGACTTGTGGTGCAAAAACAGACTAGTTCAGAGCCTGGTGCTGGGGTGAGTTGAAAAGGTCTGTGGATCTGGGAGTAGGGGACTGTTCAGTAGACAGAACACTGCTGAGGGTTGTACCACAGCCTTGGACTCTCCTATCCAGTCTACCTTCTCCCCCTGGCTCTAGATAGATCTGTCTGTATCTCAGGTGTCTGTTTCATCTCAAACTTGATTCTGGGGCCACTGGCCATCATGGAGCTGCCTGCAAGGAAATGTCAGACGAAAAATGAACCCAGACCTGACTCTCAGACTTCCCTCACTCCTCAGGGTCTTAGCTAACC